TCCGAGTTTATTATAACTTTTCATCTTGGAGGTTTCTCCCATCTAGCAACGCTTGGAGGGGAGGGCTAGGATTTTCAAGAACAGAATCAAACTCCTCGCATTGATTAGCCCACCATCGTCTTGCTCTTTCAACCATTTCCTCTGGATTTGTGGAGTAATTTTCAAACACAAACTCTCATTACGGGCTTTCCAAACCAGCCAGCTCGTTTTCTCTTTCACAACTAAACCAATCTTTAAAACCATCTTGATTTTCAATAGGCCAAATCAGATTGCACGAGCATAAGGACACTCTAGCTAGGATGATGTGTTTGAACACATATCTGACATCACCACGTGCCTTTCTTTAAGTTTATCAAGGGAAGGAAGAGCATTGTGATATCCCTTCCATACGAAGAATTTAATCTTTGGACAAGCCTTTAACTTGCACCTCTTCCAAAAGACATTGTCCTCAGTCTGATTTGCATATATAACACTTAGTCTTGACCTTGAACAACTAAATAATAGGCCGATCTCACAGTGAAATTTCCTTTCTTTGTCCTGCCCCAAGCTAACTTCAACTTATCTCTCATTAGAAAATAGAAACCAACTTAGGTTAATTTTCAAAATAGCCTTAACCTCCTCTATTGAGAAAAGAGATCTCAGAGTTGCAACTTTTCAACGTCTTCATCTTTGGTGAATAAGATCATTGATTGTTTGAACTGTGCAATTTTCTAGCTTAGGCATAATGTTGATAGAGACATCATCACCTATTCTCCAAATCACACACCTTTTTTTAGTAGATCTCTCCCCATTAGGAGGCTTCTCCAAGCCCAAGACGGCCGAGATCCTAATGGTGCACCTGAAAGAAGGGTGGTTCCTTGTCCTTTCCAGGAACCTATCTTTGTCTAAATGTTTGTTAAGACATTTGCAAAAATCTCTGATTTATTTCTATTTCTCCCCATTTGTGTAGGAACTCCCAAATAATTAGCCTTTGGATCTCCTTTAGGCATTTGGAGCGTTTGCGCCATCAACTTCTTAAATCTGTATGGAGTGTTGGAGCTGAAATAAACCGCTAACTCTGATAATTTTATTTTCAAACCACAACTGTGGGCAAAACTTCCAAGGAGCCTATTTAAATTATGACATTAGATGATATCTGCCTTTGCCTTTGAAAACAAAATGCAGCCATTAGCATAAAGGAGATGTGATATGTTTGATTCATTTTTTTTATTTTTTTTGTTAGATGATTCAGCTTAATACCCTCAATTTGATTGCTTGCTTCCTTTAAGTAATCTAGTCATTAGGCTTTGCATGACAATCATAAACAGGCAAGGAGACAAAAGGGTCCTATTGTCTTAAACCGTTATTGGGCTTTATGAAACCTTTGATCGGACCATTTAATTGAAGAACTTGAAGAGCATAAGAAACTGAGGTAATACACACCATCATGACATTGATCCAATGAGGTGGCAAACCCCATTGCTTCCAAAGATAACTTCAAGAAATCCCAATTTACACTATCGTATGCTTTGTGCATATCCAACTTCACCGCCATAGAGTAGGATTTTCCTCTAGTTTTATTTATTTTTTTAAATGGTGATGAAATACCTCATGTGAAATTCTGGTATTATTATCTGTGATATTTCTTTTATTTAGAAAAGCACATTGAGGGTCATCAACCACCACATTTAAAATCTTCCTTAAGCAGTTTGCCAAAGTTTTAGCAAAAATCCTACATACCACGTTGCATAATGATATTGGTCTGAACTCTGAATTGGTCCACAACTTGAGGGCGTTTATATCCTCAGGAATGTAGGTGAAATTTATATCCTCAGCAACTCTTGCTTCATCAAACATAAACTTACAATCTTTAATAACATCTTGACCAATAATGGTCCAATACTTTTGAAAAAACAAACCATTCAGGCTAGGAGATTTTTGAGGGCCTAATTGAAAAGTTGCTTTCTCAATTTCTACATCAGTCAATGGAGCATAGAGATGGTCGTAGAAATTGTAGGCCTTGTTGCTCTCAAAATATTTTCAAGACAAACTGAAGCCTGTTGGTTGTAGATCACATTAAAGTAATCATTGAAAACTTTTGTTATTACCACTTCAGAATTTTGCTAGACACCATCTTTGTCCTTAATTTTGTACATTTTGCTAGCTTGGCGCCTCTTGATCACTGTAGCATGGAAGAACCTTGTGTTTTGATCGCCTTTCTTTAACCACTACACTCAGGATTTCTGTGCTGCTTCCACACCATATGAAGCCCCTTAGATAAACGATTAACCTCTTCTCTATTATAGGATTCTTTTGTAGCTTTCTTTGGTAAATATTTTGGGAGATTTGACCAAACTTGCTTTTGTTCCAATCTTTGAGAGCTTGTTTACAATTTGTAACGTTCTTGCCTCACGTATCCGTTTGGATTAGGACTTGGCCTTACTGAGCACGCTTGTTGAATAACTTCATTGCAAGAGTTATCACTTGTCCACATTGACTTAAAACGGAAACATTTATAACATTTCCAAGTAGGGGATACTAGCTGGATGCAGAGTGGAGCATGGTCTGAACCAATCATGTCTTCATGAAATACCATTATCTCAGGAAAAAGGAACTTCCATGCTGAGTTAGCAATCCCCCCGATCAATTCTCTCTTGTATCATGTGATATCTTTCTCTCTTATTTATGAAGCACCCTGCAAACACAGATTCTGAAGATCCCTGCATATACAGAAGTTAGTAACAGCTGGGGCTAACACACTTGTACCGGTCCTCCAATATAAAATCAAAGGACATTAATATGACCCAAGGAAACAACTCGAGACAGGGGATTTTCTCAGATATGAAATTGAGTGTTTGATGAGGCTTCCATCACTCAAGGGTACAAAAATGAATAAGGGGAAGACCCCTTCTTATCCGAGATTCTTCTAACCTCCCAGACTCTCACAAGGTAGGATTAGTTGCCCAGTTTTCTCAACTACCTTGCCAAACTTTGACCACACCAAGTAAGAGTCTTGCTGACATGGCTTTAGTTTGATTAAATGTAAATAGGCCTAGAAAGGGAGACTAGTCAAAGATATTTACCCATTGGTGTAGGATTTGCCCATACACCAAGGCCAAGGTTATTCTGAATCGAGGGCATCTGGCCACTCAGATCAACAATTTAACCATGTATAGGGGAAGCCTTGAAATTCCAACTCACTCATATGAAGGTTATTGATTGTTCTTCTAAAGGCTTGAATCCTATAATTTGGAGTTTTCCCACCCCCTGTTTTTTTGAGTGGTGCAATATCTCATTAAAGTCTCCAAGCATGGCCCAAGGTCCAAAGGAAAGAGGTTCAAGCTGAATTAATTCTTTCCAAAATTTGCTTCTCTTCTGAGAGTAAGTCTTAGCAAATCACTTCCGTCTCCATTTGGACTCGCTATAAAAATGTGATCAAAAGCCAACCTTGGACATAGCTGTCGGACCACTCTATCTTTATTCTTCATTCAAAGAGAAACATTAAATGTTGAACTGTCAGGGTTTTGCCTACCCCCCGATAGTTCCAGCTTAGCAGATTCATTACTCTCGGCGATACCTGCCGATCTTCCAGAGTTTTAAAGTTGCTGAGAGGTTGAAGGGGAATTTGACAAAGAAATTTGGTAGGGATGGTATCTCTATTTTCTATTTGTTGTATTTTCCTTCTAAAACATCAAGCATGCCCAACCCCTTTTCAAACTCCCTGTGCTTTTCTTCCTCTAAGCAATTTATGCTTGCAACGCAACTTGATCAGGATAGTCTAAACGACGTTGCTTTCAAGGGTTAACTTGGTCTTCCTCAATAATCTCCGTCAGCTCCTTGGGACCCTGCATTGCATCTCTTTTCTTCTTTTTGGTGATTTGCATGCAAGGAATCTGGCCCTCTTGGAGTTGTAAGGTGAGAAATGCTTATTTGTGGAGTTGTAAGGTGAGGAATCTGGCCATCGACTATTTCAGCTGAAGAAAATTTTTTTATCTTGGGTTTTATTTTGAAATTTTGAAGAATAGTAGAAGATAAATTTGACATTTCATTTCTTTTCCGTTAGCACTCGCTGACGATATCAATTGTTAAAAACAATAAAAGTACTTTTAAGATAATATGTAAACAATAAGGGTAGAACTAATCAATTAGATAAACCACAAGAGTAGTTTAAAAAATTTGCCCTATCGAAAAAAAAAAAAAACAAAAATATCTTGGAGATCGAAAAAATGAAAAGACTTGCATCTACCAATGGAGCATATCCTATGATACCTTAAACTATGTGAGCTTATACCACACTTGTAATCATCTAAGACTTGAATTTGGGGTTATTAATGTCTTAATTTGGGATTTATTGGAATTTCCTTAGTGTATCTATACATATCCTAAATTTTCACTATATCCATGCGTATTTAAATCATATCCAATATTTCTTAAATTTGCCTTTGCAATACTACTTGCATTTCTGATACTTTTGGCCTTGTTTAATATATGACTTGCACAAACCACAAAACCTTAAGTTTAAGAGATCCAGACTCAGCAAAGGCGGGTAGGTTTAGACGTTTAATTTCGTTGGTTATGTCATCACTCCATTTAGACAAATCCGGATCTTCTGCCCACGAAAACTCTGCCCACATTAATCACAGCCACATATGAAGAATATCTCATCTTCTGTGCAGAGTATTATGCACGGGGAGATAGTTCCCAATTCACGGGGGGTAGGCGTGGGCAGAAGATCCAGAGTCCATTTAGACGTTTAGTTTGGTTGGTTACGCCATCACCCCAAACGGCCCGAACAGTACTAAACTTACCGCTTGACATCCTTACCTTGGTGAGATAGTTCAATTCCTTACCTTGGTTGGTTCCTTACAGAATTCTGCAACGATGTGTGTGTGTGAGAGAGAGAGGTGTTAAAAATAAAAGAACAACCTTCCCTTTGTCCCTATTTGTGCATCTGTTCACCGAAAAAAAACAAACAAAATATAACCCTATTTGTGCATCTGTTCTCTGCAGTTAAAAGAGAATGGGAAAAACTGCCGCAATACCCACTTTTCATTACCAAATTAATCATTATTCCATTAAGGGGTTCGAAACCGTAAATTGCACGTAATCCTGTATAACCGGATAACCTCATCTAACAAAAATGGACAATAATATAATACATCAAATGGAACACAAGTAATTTACATAGGAGTAAACTACCTAAATGTTCAGTTTATCTGGTCCATTTACCTACTTCCTCCATTGGCCGGAAAAATGTTCAACGCCATCTTTTGCAAGTTTCAGATTGTACAAATATTACACGAACAATTTGATGAATGGATCATGATCGCCAACTGGAAAAAAGCTAGCTCTTCTAATACTCAATCTGTGTAAACTAGATAAGGGCTCATCTTCTGATGCTTGTATTTTTCAGTGTAAGTTACAACAGCTACTGCAGAATAGCTCCGTTGTACCCAAATTTGTCAGATTTGAGCTTGGCTGAGCTGGAGATGGAAGTATGGTTTCCGCATCAAATAAGAAGCACCATAATATATGATACTTCAAAAAGGAATCTGTTTGCGTCCCATTATATATATGCAAGTGAGCTTCGGTCAAGGTCAGGCTGTGGGCGACCCCGAATTGGAGTTGGGGGTCTTTGAATGTTAAGTTCCTGCAGAGACCCAAAATGTACAGGATGGAACAAGTCAATTACTGTATGGACTTCCTTACCATATGCAATTTCAATTTAATCTTTACCTGCATCCATGTTTCATCTAAGACGCGTTCTGGAGATGTTTCTGGTGACTGAAGAGGAGGTGGTAAAGGATGAATCAATTTTGGAACTATAACCAATCCCCTACCAACAACCAGTATAGCTCCCGCATTGTTTGCCGTCCCTGAATCAATAATCAACTTAGACGCAAATATAGCAGATTGGTGCAGAAAGGGAAAAAAAATTTCAAACTTTGCTTACCACAGTAGTTGGTTGCAGAAAATAGAGTTATCAACTGTCCCTGAGCAAACCGTTCGAAGCCATCCATCACACATTCATGTGCTCTTATAATGAGCTGTAGTTTATTTTTCTTGCAGAAGTCTGTGACTCGATCAGGCTGTGATAATAATACCAAATCAAAATATGTTCCAAAAGTGCATGCAGTGAAGAATGCCTTGCAATTATTCAAAGCATTAGTTGTACTCTTGCAACACTCGAGTGAAACAAATAAAAATTATCCTAACCAGGAAGGTGATATTAATGTTGTAACAGAATACCAAAATATGATAGCATGAGAAAACACCACTAGCAGTGTCAATTAGTCCCAGGAGGTCACCCATCATTTTGTGACTGTTCTTTTAAGGAAAATCAAGTATGCATGTTATTTGATGAGTACTGTGAAAGTCCACTGTAGGATAAGTACTGTGAAATACAATGAGCAGTACACTTTCTCTTCCCTTTTTTGAGGGCAATAGGAAGGTCCAGGTTATCTGTAACGAGATTAATAGAATAAATGGGAACTGAAACAGTAGAGGGATCAAGATGAATACTTGAATCCATGTCAGCTGAATTTGAAGTCTCCAAGGAGCCGACAAAAAGTGATGTGAGTTCTGCTGCAGTGGAATCAACCTCCCCGTGAAGTTTCTGTCGTGAGTAACACTAAGAAGCAGGACGCAAGGGAGGTGGTAAGGTAGGTGACACAGGAGGATTAGGCACAGGAGTGGACACAGGGACTAGAACTGGGAGAGGGATAGACTGCTCACTCACTTCCCCAAAACACTCCCCCTAAGAAGGATTCTTCGAGAAGAAGTATGTTGACTCAAAAAAAGTGACATCCATAATAACATACCGACTCCCAGAGACTGGATCATAGCAGCAGTACCCTTTCTGATTTTCTGCATATACAAGGAAGACACACTTCTTTGCCTTCGGGTCAAAGCTTCGAACAGTGAGGACCAAGGATATGTGCAAAGCAGACACACCCAAACACCCTGAGAGGAATATGAAACATCTCCCCCTCAAGCAAAAGGAGACTGAATGGGGTGCTGAATCCAAGTATACGAGAGGGCACCCTGTTAATCAAATATACTGTTGTGAGAACTGCATCACCCCAAAACCGAACTGGAATTGTAGATGTGATCATCATGCTTCTTGCGATCTCAACAATGTGTCTGTTCTTTCTTTTTACAACACCATTCTACTGTGGACTGTAGGAACAACTGCTCTGATGGACAACACCATATTCTAACAGATATGCAAGGTGTTTTTCAAAATATTCCCTGGCATTGTCTGATCTGAACACCTTTATTCGTGTTCCAAACTGTGTTAGCACCATTTGATGAAATTGCCTTACCAAGGATGGTACCTCATCTTAGGATCTCATCAAGTAAACCCAAGAATATCAAGAGAAATCATCCACAAATAAGAGAAAGTATCGATAACCACCCATTGAAGGAACATGATAAGGTCCCACACATCAAAATGAATAACACCAAAAGAACAACACCTTTTATTACTAGCTTTAAAGGAATGTCTACAATGCTTTCCAAGTTGACAACCTTTACACTCCAAACTTGACAAACTAACAGACCCAAATAGCTTTGGAAACAAAAGGCTCAAAGAAGAAAAAGGCAAATGACCCAAACGATTATGCCAAAGCATAATCTGACCCACTGACCCTAACTTACTATCCCTGCTGACATGATGACTCTGATGAAGAGGAAACACATCCAGGAGGTAGATTCGATTCATTTCACGACCAATCCCAATCGTCCTCTTTGAATCCAGACCCTGTAAGATACAATGACCAGGAGAAAAAATTACTGAACAATTCAAGTTCTTAATCAAACTACTAACAGATAACAAATTAGTGTTCAATCTAGGAACATGAAGGATAGAGGGAACGGAAATGGAATCACTAATCTTGACAGACCCTTTCCCAGCAATGAGAACATGAGATCCATCAGCTGTGGAGACCCTGTCTCTGCTAGAACAGAGCTAGTAAGAAGAAAAAATAGTGGAGCCATGGGTCATGTGCTCTGAGGCTCTAGCATCTATAATCCAAGGAGGTCCCTCCTTACCTGAGGTAGAAACATAATTTGCAGTGGCATGTGAACTACCTATGTGAGCAAGGGAAGTAGAATGAACTCCACCAGAACCACCTGTACCTTGTTGTCCGCCTATTGCTAAACTAGAACTGGCTATATTCCACTGGTTCAGAAATTGCCCATACCTCTTAATTTCGGCCCTTACTGCAACAGCTGCAGCACTCCAGAGCAGCTGTAATAGGAGGGGCCAGAATGTCACCAGTGACTGCCATGTGAGCATTTCCCTTCTTATTTTTTAGTCTATTTGGCACAAGATGTGGATGAAGCTTCCAGCAAGTATCTCTTGTGTGTTTAGGCTTCTTACAGTAGTCACAAATCAAATCTTTTTTGTCTTCCTTCTTGATTTCACTGCCACCCCGGTCTCCACCTTGTTTAGGTCTCACAGTACTAACCGTGGCTGACTACTCAAACCCAGAATTTTTCATCATCACATTTCTCTTGCTCTCCTCCCCCTGGTTTCATTTCACTCTCGGGCTTGTTTTCAACTCCGTGACCATCCATACTTCTCAAAAGGTGCAAAGAAAATCACTGTAATATGCAAGAAGATCAAATGAAACACTTTTGGAACCAACGACACCTTTCGGGTGCCCTAGATGGTCCCCCTACAAAAGATTCCTTTTCTGCGGAACGGAAGAATAGAGAGAAGAGGCAACCGCTCTCTCCAAAAACCTCCAAATCAGGTAGGACTTGAACCGCCCTCTACAGAAAACTCCAAGGAACCCTAAAAAATTAGGGTGCCACTTCCTAGGTCAAAATTGAAGAGTCCAACAGAAACATGACTCTCCCCCTTTCTCCAGTTTTTCCTGATTTTGATGAGAAACCCTAGGCCAGCTATAGGGCAAAACAGATTCACCAAAAAATCCAAAAACTAGGCTTACCTGAGATCTTTGATCAGCCTCTTAATCCATGCAGTCGGCCAATCTAGGGCTGCATGAGAAAACAACTCAAGGAACCTTCGGCCCTGCTCTAATACCAAGTAGAAATCACTGTTTGTAAATCAAGATGAATTCCTTGTGAAGAGAAAGAAGATGATGAAGAGTTTCAACAGTAGAAAAGAAAAGAGAGGAAAGAAAGAGTGGGATGTTAACTAGAATTGAATTAGTTCTGGCCGCCAACCCCTCATTATATTTTATACTTAACTTAAAAGAATGAAAGATTACAAGAATGCCCTTAGTAGGGCAGCTACTAAAGTAGTTGAACAGTCACAACTTAAGAACATAAGCTAATGGGCTTAAAGCCCAACAACTTCCTAACTTAACAACTTAAAGTAAGAACAAAAAACAACTGGCCCCAATAACTAGAAATCGACCCAACTCAACAAAAGGATTCAATGTTAATGACCTCAACAGGAATGTGTTCCACTTTTTGCACTCCTCCCCCTTTATTCCACACACCCCCAAAGTCCTCTCAATAAGGGAAAGAACTCGGACTCTAAGTTTTGATGGAAGTGCCTTGGGTAACCCTAGAGTTGCCGACATAGGGGGAACCCTAAGAGATGAAAATGGGCTCATCTGCTGGGTATACAGTGGACCGATTGGAATAGCTAACTCTACAAAGGCTGAAGTGTTAGCAGCTCTTACAGGGATTCACCTAGTCAGCAAACTGGGTATTCAGAACTTCTCCATTGAAGGTGACTCAGCAAACACTATAAAATGGTTAGGAAAGCAGGAAGTTGGACCGTGGAAACTTAGTCACTTCTTAACAGAATGTTTCTCTGTACTGAACACCATTGCAGATGGATTAGCAAAATTAGGTGCCACTCTAGAGTCCTTGTATTGTGATAAAACTCCTCCTGTGTAATTCTCAGAGGTCTGACCCCTGTTATGTATTTGTACACCTTCTTGTGTACCTTTCTCTCTTTCTAATGAAATCGGTTAACTTTTTTTCAAAAAAAAAAATCCCATATTTCATGGTGTAGAGTGGAGAACGGAGGTTGACATGATTGTTTATGGACTCAACTCAAAAGGAATGAGAAAGGGGGAGAAACCAAAGCCCAAAACAGGTGATCCCTGCCTGTAACTTGTCATACATTACAGTTCAACTAATGATACTTTAGCACACTTTTTTTTTGATAAATATGTAGCACTCTGTAGAGAACACTGATGTGGGCCCCACAGCTATGGTCCCACTGTGTTCGTAGGGTAGAAGGTGTTCTAGTCTTCCTAGGGTTAGCTGTTGGTCATTTAGTTGTTTCAGTTGTTATTTATTTCAGTCTTATTTTGCTCTATTTGTTATGTAAAGACTAAGGGCAGATCTGTCCTTTCCATGTAATGAGCATAACCTATAAATATTAAATAAAGTGGCGGCGGCAGAACATTAAGCTTCTGTTCCTCCTTTCAACTCGTGTGCTCTACTACTCTTTCCTCCCTCTTTCTCCTCTCTTCTCTATACCTTTTTTCTTATTTTCGAACCTCAAATCCATTAGGGTTCAAGACTGATAACAGTCCTGAACGTCTACTTGGTATCAGAGCTAGGGTTTCTCATGTGAGTCTAGTCCAGCCGACCACATGAGAACCATCTAAGGCTGGAAGCTGAGAAGGTAGAGTTCGTTGACTGGTTCTTGGAGATCTCCAGAGGGTTTAGCAGCTGTTTGAAGAATTGCCACAGTTGCAACGTGTTGGTGAT